ATCAAAATTTTTTTTAAATGAAACCCTCTTCCTTCAATTTTAAACAATAATCGTAATACACAATGTACATAAATTGAAGAATTGAAATGTTAAACGAAAATTTTCTAATTTCCAGACTTGCTATACTCTCATTTTATACATCTATAAATGATAACTTGAAAACTAATGTCAAATATTATTAAGTTTACAGTTTCGGCAAAATGGCATGGTTAAATGAAACTGAACATATCGAAATTAATTAAATCGAATTGTTAAATGCTATTTTCAAAAGTCAATAACTCGGAAACGGTTGGTTTGAGGTACATTGTGTGTATATCGATTTTTGCTTAGAATTGAAGGAAGAACCGAAATATGCAATAATATATAGGGGTTCCGTTTAAAAAATTAAAACTTTGATGTGCCACGACTTTATGGCCGACCTTGTACACATGAATTTATTACTCGCTAATAGATATTTATAAACCCTATAACTTTTGTATTTAACTTTTTGCGGTACCTCCTATATTTTACCTAATAATCGACCGTTTCCTTACATAACAGCGACCCTGTATATGTTAATCACACTAAAGTATTAACTAACTAGACTTTATTATAATTATGAAGAGCTACAGTTTTCTAAGTCTCTAATTTTTATAAAGTAATTTCGATTAAAAAAGCAATAGTAGGTAGATAAAAAAATATGCAATATAAAAATTTGCCAGGATATTTTGTAAAAAAGATTGATTTAAGAAATCTCAACCACAAAACTTGATATGGAGCGTTTTACTAAACAGTGGATCACCCTGTATACTGGAGAAATATACAATAGGAGAGAGCGAATGATAATTATCATCCTTTGTCACGTATAAAACTACTATGTATTTCTGCGACTAGTGGGGAAGGCCCTTCGATTATGTATGTACAGGTTTAGGCCCTTTGTCTAATATTTTTTTTTCTATTTACCACAGCACTGTTGGCGGTAGCCAATATCACTTTGTTTATATTGCGTTTAGTTTGTCGACATATATAGCGGTTACAATGGTTTTTAACGTGTAGGAAACAGGGAAGCGAATGTACAATTTGTTTCTAGGTTAACCAAAGGGTGCATTTAATTAATGGTTTATTTTATTTCCTTTTCAATTTTTGCATCACTCTAATAATAGATACATTGGGAAAGTTTGAGTTGATTGAGTCTGAGCATTAGTTAGTCTAGAAACTGTAATTTGGTAATTAAGGCCTGCTCTTTCCATAATATTTTCTCTATTGAAGATATGTTAAAAATAAGCCGAAAGAATCCTGAGAATAATTGCGTAGAACATAGAGTGTTTTTATTTTGTAAAAAATTCCTTAAAATGAAATCTAACTTTATTGATTTCATATTTATGACAAATATCTTCAGCAGTTAGTTGTTTAGTCCTGATGAGAGTTGGAAAAAATCATCTAGAGATCATTTCTAGATTTGTATCTAAAACGCGATTTTTTGATGACACATTTTTAGAGTTAATTGATCGTCAACTTATTTTTTTAAATTTTTCATGGTTGTTTTAAATTCACCGATAGTAACGATTTATTATTTAATGTTACCTGCTTTTTTTTATTTGTTATTTGTTGCTTTACAATAGAAATCTGTAATATAAAAATTAGAATGTATTTTGTTATATTCTTTCAAATACCTATAGATAAAACAGAAACAACAAATTACAGAATTTCTGTTGTTAGTAGACGTTAGTACCACAGATTATACAGATTATAAACTTATCGTCAAAAGCATTGTTTTTTGTGGTTCCAATTTTCGGAGTCGCGCACTAGTTAGGTTACTAGTTTGCGCACATAGCACGCCCACTTATGGCCTCTAAAATTGTGCACAGCGCCTAACCGGCCTTGTGACCGGTCCAGTTATTACGCTGTTTCAATGCGAGTTTATTTTTGCGCATAGGAAATTTTACTCGTTTGCTCATCGTCATAAAAAACAATTTTCGTACAACGAATTAGGGACAAGATTTTTATCTGTATACTTATAGGACACCTAATCTGTGTTAGTACCATCGACTACTAAAAGCTCCTTATTTTTAGGAATCTTTTTGGTTTGAACAATTTTGAACATAGACGTATATTTTTACACGAAAAAATCTCAGCGTGCTTATTTGCAGCTTTTAATTTTGTTTTTTTCTAAAATGTAAAATAATAAAATATATGAAATACGATCTCCTCTGGAACGTTTTATATATTTATTTTTTACATTATTTTAATTTTACATAATGAGTTGATGTAATATGTTGTAATAACTTTTGATGCTTTCTAAACTAATAGAGCAAGAAGATTTTTTTTATATTAAATTGATATCATATGTCATTATCGGTTATGGGTTGTCATGTATGTATTAGATCGATTCATACGCAGATTTTAGTAGTGTATTATAGTACTACTGGTACTATTTGAACTAAGTTGTGTCAGTACCTAGTACAAAATACTGATTTTGTTTGTTTAATTTTAATATAAATCAATTAACAAAATACGAAAAGCATTTGATTTTTTGATTTAAAAATGAATAGTACCTTTAGTATATTATAGATATGTGATCAATTAATTTCGCAGAGAGATTTAAATGTGTCATCTTTTTATTATAGATTTTGGCATAGTTCACATTCCGGGACTGGCATTTTAGTCTTGAGACATCATGCCAATTCAGCCAAAATAGACCCTTGCAGCCGCCGTGGAGGATTCCACTTGGGAACCACTCTTAGCAAATACAATAAATAAATACAATAGTAATAACTTCAATAAGCTGTCGATAAAATATGAGATTTTAAATATTTTATATTTCTTTCAAGACCATTCTGTTTAAAACAACTAATACATAGTCTGATATTATAGAAAGAAAGCCTTATTTCGAAGTTAAAATATAGATAAAAGAAACAAATTTAGATTCGAAAGTGCCCATAAGGACAATGTAAATACTATTTGGCGCTATTCTTACGCAACGGTCGCTCTCCAAAGCTTTTAATAATTTCGGAGCGGTTCGACTTTTTCCGGAAATATGTCGTCAAATATTATTTATTCAAATTTATTATTATTTTCTTATATTCTTTTAGATAAAATACAGGTGTGCTGCATATAAGAAACTTTATTTTATACAGGGTGGCGCACCTCATTCGCCTCGGTTGATTATACGAAAACGGAAAGATGTAGAAACACAATTTTTTATGGGTATATGTAGAGAGGCAATGTGCATAATTTAAAATTATTTTAAAATGTACAGGGTGTGTCAGAACTAAGATCCATACCAAAGTTATATTTTTTCTTATAGAACACCAGGTATTTTATTTCATTTTTGGATTCTTGAACATAAAATAAGGCATATATTATAAGGGTTTAATATGTTTAAATGCATTGGTTTTTGAGATATTCAAAGATATTTAAATATGCATGATATAATAAAAAAGTTTGTCAACACCCTGTACATTACTGTTCAGAGTTAATTCTTGTGCCGACTTTAAAGTCAGAGAAATAAACTTTACTAAAAAATTTTATTGCTTCCTTAAATGTATACAGGGGTATCAAAAATTGCTGGTCTATTGTAAATATCTATTTTACATCAAAACTTTGTTATTTCAAATACAACACTATATATTTTTTTAAATAAGTCGAAGCAGATTTAAATGCTCTTTCAAACTATATTAGGGTGGCAATTTGCTAATGATAGGTAGTAGCTATTTTCAAAAACGACATTAGTTATGGACTTTATTTAAATTTATAACAGATTACTTTTATTTAATTTACCTACAATAGTTTAATAAGTAAGAAGTATTTATTATTCTAACAAGAAAAATAAAAAAGTAGTTTTTTGATTTATACCACGATGACTTGTAGATATATTGGATTTTCTATAAAAGAACCAATTAAGGCAAATTAATTTTCTTCACTGCTAACGATAGGTTCCTGCCTAATAGATTTTTCACATACCACACTATCAGTTCCGCGAAATAGAAAAAATAGTATTTCAAAGGAACTCTTTTCAAGAAAATTCTTATTTAGATATCTTTGAGCATAAACCCTTCCGGCCAACTAAGCAATTGTCCTCACAAAATAAAATAACTAGTAACCTATCCATTCCTTCCGCCAGCAGATACTGCTTCATTTTTCTTGATAAAATAATAAATACTTACTTATTAACTTTATTGCAGGTAAATTAAATAAAAATAACCTGTTATAAATTTAAATAAAGTTCATAAACTAATGCCGATTTTGAAAATAGCTACTAAGTGTCACTAGAAAATTGCCGTGGCGACACCAGCCATCTTGATTACAATTTTATTGAAAAATCGCTTTTTATTCAAAACCTGAACCAGATAGGTATAGGAAACCCTAATATAGTTTGAAAGAGCATTTGAATCTGCTTCGATTTATTTTAAAAAATACAGGGTGTTGTATTTGAAATAACGAATATGTAAAATAAATATTTAAAATAGACCAGCAATTATTGATGCCCCTGTATACATTAAACGAACCAATCAAATTTTTCAGTAAAGTTTATTTCTCTACCTTTAAACTCAGCACAAGAATTAATACTGAAAAGCAATGTACTGGGTGTGAATAATATATTCTTTTATAGCATGCATTTTTAAATATCTTTCAATATCTCAGAAACCAAAGATGTTAAACATATTTAACCCTTATAATAAATACCTTTCTTTGAGCATAAGAATCCAAAAATGAAATAAAATACCGGGTGTTCCATAAGAAAAAATATAACTTTGGTATGGATCTAAGTTCTGAAACACCCTGTATATTTCAAAATAATTTTAAATTGTACACATTGCCTCCCCACGTATACCCATAAAATATTTCGTTTCTACATCTTTTTGTTTTCGTTTAATCAACCGAGGTGAATGAGGTGCGCCACCCTGTATAAGGAAATGTATGAAATACCTAACCCTATTCTGACTTTGACAAGAGAAAATTATCTTTTCTTGTTTGCGGTTGTTCTTAGCAACCGCTATAGCAGCGCCCTACAACGTATGCGCTCCAAATCAATTATTATAAGTTTTGGCGGCAAGCCGCGCATTCTAATCTAAACTTGTTTCCTTTATCTGTGGTTAAAAGGACAGGAATCTGTCATTAGTGTCTTTAATATAGTTTTACTAACATTTGTTAGTATTTTGTCAAAAAAAGGTATATTTAGAGATCGAACTGAAAAGGAAATAATTTTACAACAATAAATATGCACTTTTTTCGATCGATTTTTCGAGGGGGAATTTTTACAGAGTTCTTCTAGTGATATGTCTCCTAATGCTTTCGTATTCTTCGGATACTTCGATATACCACCACACACCCGTTTTTAAGTATACTTCCGGATATCGACGAATCACTTAATTTATCTTTAAATTTTTGGCACCGGCTTTAATAGATAACAATCTCTGTACAACGGACACATCCAACGGTAGAGCACCCTACGTTTCAGCACGTCAAATTATATACAGGACGATCCAAAAGAGCGCGCGACCGGTCTCAGGGAACGTCGTGGTGTCGCGATTTCTTGCCGCCGCCGAAGCTGAACCAGTTGCCCATTTTCCTGCCCAGCAGCGAATTCGAGGAGGTAGTGTTCAGCTGCAGCATCGAGGAGCCGATGTAGCTGGATTGATGTTTGAATTTCTTATTTTCTGCAAAAGAAAAATAGTATATAAATAACTGATCAATCTTAATAAACCAAATATGGAATTCACGATAAATAAAACTAGTATACTTATATGTATTCATTTAAAAATCGAATACTTTCGAAAATCATGAAGTAAATAGTTTTTTAAAGCTATTCCAAGGCGGAATGCTACGTTGATTTTATATTATGCTCATAGTTCATGAATCTAATGTTTTACCGAAACATTACAAGCTTTTAGTATAAGAGCTGACTACATAAAAAACCTTATCATCGTTACATGGTTTATTTTTTTTGTGAAGTATCCTTTTGTGTAGCCATTATGAAATAGTCATGTCTGTCCAATCGAAAGGGTGAAATTTTTACACTAAAAATATTATAAGGTACACGAGTTATAATTGCGAAAATAGCTTTTATTTATTATTAAGAAACGTGGAAAATTGTTGGTAGACATTTTTCTCGTCGCTAAATTAACGCGAAAGAGGCGCGAAAACGCGTAAACAACGCGAAAGAGGTATAAAATTTTGAAAAAAAAATTGTAGCATATCTGCATGCCGATTGGTAGAATGTCATTTATTTATTTTAAAAGCCGTATACAAAAGGGCAGACAAAAAGATCATGGCTAAATCAGTATAGATAAATATATTTTTTTATGATTTCCATAACAGATATCATATATTTACTATTCTGTCTCACTATTTGTATCTGACTCGTCCTTCTGCAGATCCTCACTGAATCTTCCTCTGAGTCGATATCTGCACCGTAAAATTTTTGTAGACTTCATGCATTAAGTTTCCATTGATAACGCGGAGAGCGTTTCCGGAAAACGCTTATACAGGGTGCGTCTTAAATAAGTGCAAATACTTTTAGGGATGATATATTTCGACCCCAGGAACCTGTCTATGAGGTTTTTCTCGCAAAAAAAATGTTGAAAATCGTGCATTTTTTTAAATTTTCCTGTATATTTTAGTACCTGCCTACACCGAAAATTTATCCACGCCTGTACACCGAAAATTTAGCCACGGTTAATTATTTCTTAACCTACCATGCTTACGGCTTTATATGTCTATGGTTACGACACTAAAAGTATGGATGCAATAGAGAAAAAAACAGGTGGCTCGCAAAAAAATAACTCGGTTATTTTGGACTTGTTTGGAAAACGGTAAAGAGAAAATATATTTCTTATCGAGATCTACCAGCTCTGAAAATGTTTGCATTTATCCAAGACTCACCCTGTAGGGTAATATCGGGCTTTTGATAACTGTCTACCGCTGATTGAGCCATGATTTTTTTGTCTGCCCTTTTGCATACGGCATTTTAAATAAATAAACATGACATTCCACCAATCGGTACGCATATCCTGTATGCGATGATTTTTTTTGTCAAAATTTCATGCCTCTTTCGCGTTGTCTTCCTGCATTTTAGCCACGAGAAAAATGTCTGCCAACAATTTTTTTAGTCTCTTAATAATAAATAAAAGCTATTTTCGCCATTATAACTCGTGTACCTTATAATACTTTTAGTGTCAAAATTACACCGTTTCGATTGGCCCCCGCTTTAAGCACCGGGATCGCGCTGGTAGTCATGACTATTTCATAATGACTACATAAAAGGATACTTCACAAGGAAAATGAGCAATGTAATGATGATAAGGTTTTTTATGTAGCCAGCTCTCCGTCTATTTCTATATTTTTAAGTAGCCGTTTTTTGATAGATGATATTGTATTGTATAGAATATAAGAGAAGAATGAAATTATTGGGCAAACCTACAGTAAGATTAGCCATGAAACATAGTGGTAAGATTAGCCATGGAAACATAGTGGTAAGATTAGCCATGTTTCATGGCTAATCTTATGTAGGATTGCCCAATAATTTCATTCTTCTTTTTTATTGTAGTCCCTACTAAAACATATTTTGTTTATTATATAGTATATTTATATTTACTAAGAGTGTACAGGGTGGGTCAAATTCGACGCTTTTAAATGGAAACACCCTTTTCTATAGGAGATAGACAAAAACTAATATCGGTGTCTGGAGCTTAATTTTTGTCAAAAACATGATGGTGAAAACCGCATTTCGATATCTGTTACCCTTTCGGAGTTACGGGATGTTTTTCAAAAATATGCATTTTTAATAAATCGTTGTAACTTTTTTGCTATAGAAAATTTTGTATTTTTATGGAAACATTTCCAAAGTACCTTTTTACGTAGAATTTAATGGTTTAAGTATAATTTTTTTAAAATTAATAATTTAAGAATTATCAACAGAAAATTTGATTTTTTATATGGGACACCCTGTATATTTTTAGTTTATTGAAAAGAATTTAAAATTACCTCTCCAAAAATATAACACACTTGATATTTTGCTCGATTCCTCTTCGATATATAGAGTATATAAAAATTTGCCCGCTTTAAATGAGTAGGCTTTGAACGGCACCGGCTCTAATGCAAAAAATTCAAGCTGTGAGCATCAATTAAAACGAAAATAATATTTGTTATGAGAGATGCAGAATTTTATAACAATTTAAAATATATTTAACCAACATCAACACATTTAAACTATATCTAATAACAATAAAAATAAATAGCAAACCAAGACATGAGATTTTGCTACAGGTCAGACGGGGCAGTTTTTGAACATTTCTCGCGGAATTCATTAACTCAGTGGGGGTGAAAGATACCCCCTCATAACTGCTAAGTATTTCTAATTCTGGTCTAGATTATACGGAATAAGAAACCTTTATTCTTCCGCAAATATATCCACAGGATTAGATCGATGGGCACTAAGTCAGGCGGTTTCGACGGCCAACGGCTGGGATCTTGGTTAGCTATTCAATTATTCTTGAAATTGACTACAAAAATTTGCTGATTCTTCAGCGTTCTGAGACGGTGCGTCGTCTTGCTGGAAAAATATGTTTTCGAGTTCCATTAGGCATATCATCAATAAGGGGTCCAAAGCCTACTACCTAAAAGTGGCGAACTTTTAAATATTCTGTATTTCGAAGGGGATTATAACAAAATATCAAGTGTGCTATATTTTTGGAAAGGTAGTTTTAAATTCTTTTCAGTTATTTAAAAACAGAGAGGGTGTCCCAAATAAAAAATCAATTTTCCTGTTGATAACTCTTAAATTATTAATTTTAAAAAAATTATACTTAAACCATTACATTCTACGTAAAAAGGTGCTTTGGAAATGTTTTCATAGAAATACAAAATTTTCCATAGCAAAAAAGTTACAGCGATTTGTTAAAAATGCACATTTTTGAAAAACACCCCGTAACTCCGAAACGGTAAAAGATATTGATGTGCGGTTTTCACCATCATATTTTTGATGAAAATTGAGCTCCAGACACCGATATTAGTTTTGGTCTATCTCCTATAGAAAAGGGTGTTTCCATTTAAAAGCGTCGAATTTGACCCACCCTGTACACACACACACTTAATTGTATCGAAAATACAGCCAAACGCAGAGAGTTCAATTTAGAATAGGTGAATAATCGAATTTTCCAAGGGGATTCCCCTAAGAAATATTTTCTCGGTGGGTATATACCCTACACATGGGTATATACCACGTATATACCCAAATTTATTTATTATACCCATTTGGTATTTACCCACCGCCCATCACTGCTACTTACGTCTTAGTGTCCTTGGTGGTCGTTTCTGTCGACTAGCTGCAGCTCTGGCAAGATGGCGATCGGTCTGTGGCAGTTCCAAGCCGTCAACGCGGTCTTTTACCACCAGCTTTCGCTCCTCGGAGAAGGCGTCCAACCATCGCTGTTTGTCTTTAGCTGATCGACAACAGAACATTAGCCATTTATCTCGAGTCAGGTTGAGCAGTTTGATGGCGTGTCGAACGCTCACACCCAGGTTGGAATCTGAAGCAAAGAAAAATATAAAGTACTAGCGTGTACCCGCGACTTCATTCGCGTCGAATAAATCATTCGTAATGGTGATGATAAAGCAAAGCAAGAATTTCCATTAACATACAAACTGGATAAAATTTTCTCACATTTATGTCAGCATGAGAAAAAAACAATATGGCGATATTATTATATAACTTGGTAATATTTAAGGGGTAGTTTCATTACGTTGGAATTCGACTTTCGAAAAATCCGTTTGCCAAAAATAAGCTTTTTACGTCAAGCGGTTTAAGCAGAATCGTGGTTAATCAATTAACCAACTTTTTGGAACACCCTGTATAATTTTTTTAAAAAATTTCAAAATATGTAAAAAACAATAAATTATGGGTGTCCAAGCGTTTTCCCGAAAGACTAACCGTTTTTTAAATAACAAATATTGTAATATTTGAGGGGCGTTTTCACCCCCTTGGAATTCGAGAAACCCCTCCTTACACCCCACAGTCAATCCATTTGCCAAAAATCAGCTTTAAACGTCAAGCAGTTTAAGCAGAATCGTGATTACACAATGGTTATATTTTATGAAACACCCTGTATAAATTTACAAAACAAAATAAAATATACATGTTTAAGAGTTTTTCCGAAAAACTCACCGGTATTTAAATAAAAAATATTCTAATATTTGAGGGGTGGTTTCACCCCCTGAGAATTTGAGTTTCGAAAAATCCCTTCTTATCGAACCTCTATACCCTAAAGTCAATCCGTTTTTCAAAAATCAGCTTTTTACGTCAAGCGCTTTAAGCAGGATCGTGATTAATCAATGACCAGATTTTTCGAAACACCCTGTACACATTTTTAAAAACTCTTAAAATATGTAAAAAACAAAATAAAATATACGTGCTTAAGCGTCTTTTCGGAAACTTGATCGTATTTTAAATAAAAAAGTATTGTAATATTTGAAGTGTGGTTTCACCCCCTTGGAACTGGAATTTCGAAAAATGCCTTCTTATCGAACCTCTACACCCTAGAATCAACCTGTATGCCAAAATTGAGCTTCTTACGTTGGGTGGTTTGAGCAGGATCGTGATTAATCAGTGTGTCAGTCACTTAAGGATTTTATATATTAGCCTTGAACAATTCTTATACAGGGTGGCCCATCGAAAACGTTCCGCAAGGCATAACGGCCAGGGTAATTTTTTTTTCAGAAAATCCAAAAACACGTCAATTTTGTTCGTGAGGGGGACAACTTTTGCCCCAAAACAAAAAACAGCAAATTGGTCGAAGGAATTTATCCTTATCATTTACTCTGATAAATGTTTAAATAAACTTTTCAAATTTCAATCCTTCATATTTTCTCAATGACTTGACCGATTTTCAAAAACGAAGCTGGTAAATATAGAGAATAGAAAGCCCTTTTCATTGCGGTGCCACTTGACCCCCCTTCCCATTTGAAAAAAGTTGGGGGATGACACCGCAGCTTAGAGGGTTGAAGATTTTGCAATCATTTTTGGGGCAAAAGTTGCCACCCTCACAAACAAAATTGACGTGTTTTTGGATTTTCTGAAAAGAAAATTACCCTGGCCGTTATGCCTTGCGGAACGTTTTCGATGGGCCACCCTGTATTAAAACTTTTCGTCAAGTGTGAACTATTAAGTAACTGTGATCAGCTAGTAATTGTTAATTTGGAGTTTTGTATTCATGTAATGCCATTTTAACAGAACGTCAATAGCCTCTCCACATACCAGAATATTTGGCCTGTGGATTTAACCTGCGGATCTGGCTTGCGAACTTCTTCTGCGGATAAAGATTTTGTATTTGTGTGGCAGACCAAACCTGTGGCGGACCACATGTCAAATCCGCAGCCTTGATCTGTTAGATTAAATTGGTTTAAAAAACGAATCAAGGATAAAGTCGGCTGACTTTTAGCGCTCTTTCTAGCGTCAGTTTTTATTCCGATAAACATTTATCTACAGGGTGGTCCGAACTGTATTCCGGAAACTTTGGCAGCTTGTTCTGCAGATAAAAATAAGTAAAAAAGTTCGTATAAATGTATGTCCTAAAACGATAAGTTTCGGAGATACAGGGTTTAGAAGTTTCATTTTTATTTCATTTTTTTTTCAAATAATTTGTGAAGTAACGACAATGTTCGGATGAAAATTTGTGTCAGGGAGTTTATTGACATGAGAAATTTGACTTCGATGTCAATATAACTTTATTTGTAGAGGGCGCCGCCTATATGTGTTTTAACTATTTTGAAGAGTAATAATTGTTCGTCCGTACCTGTATAAAACTACTGAGTGAAAAAATATACATTTTCGTGACTTTTTATGTAAAAAATGCCTCTTGGTAAAAATTGCTACAAGCAACCGTTCTCAAGATCTTTAGAATAGAAATACTCAATACACGTCATTATTGATAAAAAATAAACACGTTGAGTGGGGATAGTTATTTGACTGAAATAATAATTTTTTATTTATTTAAATAAATCATTTTTTTTTCGAAAAAATGATGATAAAACAGTTTATGTTGAACTTTTGGCACAAAAACATCAAATTGCATGATTTCAGTATTTATTCAGTACTCCATTATTTATGTGAATGATGACAGGTATTGATAATTTTGATTTCAAATATCTAGAGGACTATAATATATATAAATAACCCAAAAAACAACATTTCATCTAGAGGACTATTACCCCTAGCGATTTTTACCAAGAGACCTTTTTTAAGTAAAAAGCGTCGTAAATGTACCATTGCGATAAAAAAAAGTAGTACAACAAAATATGATTTAATATGCTGGTCTATAATAAAATATTTTCTTTGAAACTGATAACTAACTGTGTCATCAGAATTCTTTGCGTCAGTGTCACGTAATTTTAAAAAATGCCTTTAACTTCAGAGCAAAAATCGATTATATTTACGCGATTAAGGGATGGGGGTTCCCATAAAGGACATTACAGATGCATTAGGGATAAACAAAAAAAACAGTGTTGTTGGCTAAACCAAAATTCGAGAACATATCGATATCCTTATAGACCAGGAGTTCTATCTGGGACTATTATAAATTCTTGTACCTACTTTTTTTTTTTATCACAATGGTATATATTTTCACTCAGTAGTTTAATACAGGTGCGAACAAAAAGTTATTACTCTTCAGAACAGTTAAAAAACATGTAAGTAGAGGGGTGCCACCACAGGTAGGAGTCATATTGACATCGAAATCAAATTTCTCATGTCAAAAAACTCCCCATATACCAATTTTCATCCAACATATTGATGTTACTTCAAAATTAATTGGAAAAAATCAAAATAAAAAATGAAACTATCTATACCTGTATCTCCTGAAACTAAGCGTTTTTAGGACATATATTTATACGAACTTTTTACTTATTTTGTCTGCAGAATATGATGAAGTTTCTGGAATACACTTCGGACCACCCTGTATATTATTTAAATTTGGGTCTGGCTGTGTTCACCCTTAACGTAACCGGCAGCTTACACACGAGTTAAATAACTAGAACAGCCAGAACGTGTTGGAACGAACCTATTATTAACTTTTCTCATATATGTACAGGGTGGGTCAAATTCGACGCTTTTCAATGGAAACACCCTTTTCTATAGGAAATAGACAAAAACTAATATCGGTGTCTGGAGCTCAATTTTTGTCAAAAACATGATGGTGAAAACCGCATATCGATATCTGTTACCGTTTCGGAGTTACAGGGTGTTTTTCAAAAATATGCATTTTTAACAAATCGCTGTAACTTTTTTTTGCTATGGAAAATTTTGTATTTTATGAAAGCATTTCCAAAGCACCTTTACGTAGAATTTAATGGTTTAAGTATATTTTTTTTTAAATTAATAATTTAAGAATTATCAAACAGAAAATTTGATTTCTTGTATGAGACACCTGGTTTATTTTAATTTATTGAAAAGAATTTAAAATTACCTTTCAAAAATATAACACACTCGATATTTTGCTCGATTCCTCTTCGAGATATAGAGTATATAAGAATTCGCCCGCTTTAAATAAGTAGGCTTTGAACGGCACCGGCTGTAATGCAAAAAAATTCTAGCTGTGAACATCAATTAAAACGAAAATAATATTTGCTATGAGATGCAGAATTTTATAACAATTTTAGAATATATTTAACCAACCAAACACATTTAAACTATATCTAATAACAATAAAAATAAATAGCAAACCAAGACATGAGATTTTGCTACAGGTGTTCGACATATCAACCGTCTCTCTCTGTTATGGACAGACGGGACTGCTTTTGAACATTTCTCGCGGAATTCATTAACTCAGTAGGGGTGAAAGATACCCTCCCTAACTACTAAGTATTTCTAATTCTTGATTAGGGAGTTTTCGTTGCTTTAAAAAATTCAACTGGTACGGTGGTTAACGGATACGTAACCATAACCGCTATTTTGACAGATAAAAAACAGTTTTCGGACTTTCGGTTCATCGGTTCGGAGCCGACATACGATACGATAACCGAAAACTGACAGCTGACTGAGAGCACAGCCTGTAGCGTCGTGTTTTGATTTTGGTTTTTGTATTGTTGTTTGATTTGAAAGTGCTTTATATGACTTTATTGGGTATCGCTATAGAGGATGAACAATTTAATTTTATTGGACTCTAGTGATGAATCGGATTTGGAGGATGCTATGCTGTTGGAAGGGTTTGAAACAACATCGAATGAATATCGAGCAGAACTTTATGGGAGTTCAACCTAGAAAGTATTATCTGACCAAGAGTGCAAAGTTAATTTCCGCTTTGAAAAAAGACATTCCTCGATTAGTTGAAGCACTAAGAATTCCCAACGAGTTTAATACAGATAAAATAAATAATCAAAACATAAAACAAAATAGAATGAGGTTAGGTTAGATCTGTATTTTCAATGTTGTGTTCCACTGCGCTAGTGCGCATGCGTATCGCTATGTTAACGGCTTTGGCTAACGTCCGTAAAATATTGGCAGTTAGCGGTTACGATATACGATAATCGAAATTGAAATGTCAAAGTTGTCAATTAGCGTTAACCGGAATTGCAATTTGTAAGCAACGAAAACTCCCTATTATATGGAAAGAATAAGGAACATTTATTCTTCCGCATCCTTATTCTTCCGCAAATATATCCATAGGATTAGATCCATGGGCACAAGTCAGGCGGCCTCGACGGCCAACGGCTGGGATCTTGGTTAGCTATTCAATTATTCTTGAAATTGACTACAAAAATTTGCTGATACTTCAGCGTTCTGAGACGGTGCGTCGTCTTGCTGGAAAAATATGTTTTCGAGTTCCATTAGGCATATCATCAATAAGGGGTCCAAAGCCTACTACTTAAAAGTGGCGAACTTTTAAATATTCTGTATTTCGAAGGGGATTATAACAAAATATCAAGTGTGCTATATTTTTGGAAAGGTAATTTTAAATTCTTTTCAGTTATTTAAAAACATAGAGGGTGTCCCAAATAAAAAATCAATTTTCCTGTTGAAAACTCTTAAATTATTAATTTTAAAAATTATACTTAAACCATTAAATTCTACGTAAAAGGTGCTTTGAAATGTTTTCATAGAAAATACAAAAATTTTCCATAGCAAAAAAGTTACAGCGATTTGTTAAAACTGCACATTTTTGAAAAACACCCCGTAACTCCTAAACGGCAACAGATATTGATGTGCGGTTTTCACCAACATGTTTTTGATAAAAACTGAGCTCCAGACACCGATATTAGTTTTCGTCTATCTCCTATAGAAAAAGGTGTTTCCATTTAAAAGCGTCGAATTTGACCCACCCTGTACATATATGATAATTGTATTTAATTTGTTATTTATGATTATATTTTTCCGTTTTAGATAGAAATCTGTACAAGTTTATATTATATTCAAAAGGGGGAGAATTGTTCTTACCTTTTCCATCAGGTACATCAATAATTTCGCAAGTATCTAGGTAGATCCTTCCTTTGTACACGTAAGTGTTCCTCTTAAGAATATCCTGTAAAGAAAAATTGATTAATCTCTTTTGAACTTCAAAATGTGGAACATTTTTAAAATTTATATCGAAGTAGGGTACCTATCTAAAACTTTTGACATATTAACTTTGAGTTTAAGGCGTTTTAAAAGATAATAAAATTTATATGAAATAAAGTTCTGTTGCAATAGATATAAAAATATTACGAAGAAAATAATAAAAAGTATAAAGTGATAGACTAACTTTATTTTTTTATGTACTAACGTTCAATGTTCACTGGAGTTAAAACAAAATATCAAGTACACAATTTTACATAGATATAAATGCAATAGCAGTTACTATGGTTTTAGATTTTAAGAATTTCTTTCCACTTACCAACTAAAGATATAAAATAGAAATAAATTACATTAGGAATGTAGTTTTGTGTAATGGTTATGCTCCTTCATTAGTCGATTCAATATTAGTTTATGATTTCTGCGAACTGGACTTTCGATGTGGATAAAGATACGTCAAATTATTTTTCAATACGGTTTGATAGAGACTTAATCTGTTGTATAAAATTAATTATTAAGAATGTAAATCATAAAATTTTGTTTAATTTTGTTAATAAATTACAGCAACTTTTAAGTAATGTTAAAGATAAAACACCTCTACTAGACAGGATGAGTAAACTGGATCAATAATAAGTAGAATAATGACTCCAAGCTTGCCATGGCTATTTACAAAGTTGGTAAACTTGCCAAGTACGCAAATATTGCTGTACTTGCCAAGCACATGAGTCGCCTGAGTTTGGCATTAGGTTTTTATAAAGAGAAATATGTGATTTTTTTGTTGAATTGTTATTATTTCATCTTTTTTGTAAATAAATGTTAGAAAATATAATTAAAATGTATTAATTGTTTTTTACTTAAGCTTACCTTTTTACAATATACAATCTGATGATCAAACAAGAAGAGCGTGATGTTATTGGTCCACATTCCCGAGGTTACTCTGACTACTTCTCCTTGATAGATAAGCTGTGAACTTAATTCGATTAAATCTTCTCCCTAAAATAGAAAACATAAATGTATTCAGTGTCAATGTAATTTACTATATACCATAGGGTCGAAAAAAAACGGCGTCAGAGTTGGCTTAGAAATTAAAATTACTGCCATTTTATATGTAAAATTATAGATGGAAGTCATCGCTCGAAATTTCTAACGAAATTTAACGCCGTTTTTTTACGATCATATTATCAGTCCACAAGCAAAACATACTAAGGAGCGGTTGTACAAACATAGTTTAAACTTGAATTCAATTGAACAACGCTGAACTCGGCAATTTTATTTATTATGTAAATTCTAATTTAACGTTTCCTTTTTTCTGCTAGGGCTAATCTGGACAGGGCATACTTTGTTTACGCGGAATCCGAACCACGGTCCTCGGCCACCGGCGCACAGTGGTCTAAATGTAAAAATTACGGGGACATTAGGTGACAAGTTTGTCTTCACTGAAGATTGATAGTATGTATAATTTTATAAATAGAATAAAGTCCCATCTTACTTGTATATCAGAGTTTTGTATTTGGTGGATCGGAATGCGATAAAATTGAGGAAATGAAGTAAACAAAAATATAAATGTTCGTTTATATAGAATTTGTTCTCGAGTATCTTGAAGTTCGTTTTGGTAGTTGTGTTGAGATTAGAATATCGTGGTTTGTTTTTTAATTCAGACATATCTGCTCATTTGTTAGGTAAGTTTAGTTACTTATTTCGAAACATGAATATTGATTGATTGATTGATAATTAGTTGTCAAAGAAGTATTTACAATTTTATTAAAGTTTAAAGAATGGAAGGCTCAGAAAAAAAAACGACCCTTTTCTTCACCGTCAAACTAAATTTATTTTAAAGCTAGTATATCTGCCTATCGTGTAACAATATACTGAGCTGCTGATAGGTGCAGCCTTGTGAAATTTTTATTTTTTTCCTATTTTGTACAATTTCGGGCGTGAGTCGAAAACACTTATTTGAGCTTTTGAATGAAAATGGCTGGATGGGAAATGCCACTTCTTTAGTTGTGAGAAAAAAGATGGCCGACTTTGTCATACAACGCATCCCTACTGCTGACGATGATGACCTAACCAACAAAATATCATGGTTTTCAACTCAAATTGCTTAACGTTGGAAAATGTGCTACCGAAATAAGAAACACTTTTTAAAGAAACATGTAATTTGGCTTAACGAATATGTTTATAAATCTAAGTGCCAAAGCACCTTTCAACAACATGCAAAACGCCTTCGCGAAAGAACTCAAGAGAATTTAGTGCTGTTAGTACTAGAACTAAGAGAAGACGTACACATGAATTGATTTTTCAATATGTCCTGCTGAACTTGCGTTTGCTACTCAGACTGGATATACAAGAAAAGAAAAGAGAAATGTTGCTTTAGCCATCAAAAAAGCTACGATTTCTAGTCCCGAAGAGTTGGCAAAAATAAAAAATTTAGAAAGGTTAAACAACGAGATGCGACCATTTTCTCCAGAGGAAGCCTTGATAAAGATAACATTTTGTAGATCAGTAAATACATTCAGTTGAAATATCCAAGTAACACAATATCATTGTCAACATTGTTTTAAGTTGTAATATTCACTTGTAAATTCAATAAATAAAATGACAAAATACCATTTTGTTAATATCCTGACGCAATAAAACAAAATAATATTAAGTACTGTAAATGGTATAGAGCGTCAAAAATAAAAATGGCTGTAACTTTTGATACACATAGTATAAACCATTCACCCCTATATCAAAATGCTGGAAAAAGTACCAGGAATTGAAATCTTAAAAAATATATAGGGTATTTTATTTAAAAAGTATGGTCTGTAGCACTTTTCTGACACACCCCGTATAATTAAAAATATTTTAACAAGAAGCAATTTATTATTACTTAAAACTTTTGTATTAGCATTATTTTGAAATTCTTAATAGCAAACGAGATACTGGACTTTATCGCACTAATTGAACACCCTGTATATAAAATAGGAAGGTAAAAATGTAAAAAATAATTTTGATGAGTGTAATTTTACATAAAATATATATAAATAACAATTATTTCCTTTATTTCAAAAACAAAATTGAGTGTCCCCGAATGAGCATTGTGTAGCAATAGACTTTTTCACTCTTGCTTTACATGGAAACAACAGCCCGTCAGTGTTTCCAGACGGTCACTCGTCCGTCCACTAGTATCGCCCTACGTCGCTTACTTTCGGTGATCTCTCGGGAACCGGTGTTTTGCCGTTGCCCCAATTCTGTTTAGGTATATTTTTCTTGTTGTATAAGATTATGAAATGATTAAAAGCCAAAGTTGCTTGGATTAATAAATAAAATAACTCTGACTTAAATTTTGTAGTTTTTAATGTCATTTTTTTGCATTAATCTATGTTGTTTTTCTTTTCCTGATATTTAAACAACTTTTGAAACACCCCATAGATTAATGCTAAAAGATGGCATTAAAAATTTCAAAATTTAAATCTATTTTATTTATTAGTCTAAGCCCCTCAAAACTGGCTGGCTCAATTTCATATACTTTTAAACTCTATAAAGATTAGTCTGTTAGGCAGACATTGGCGCAATAGCGCAACTCCAAAATTCCGAATATCGATTAGCCCTTACTCTGAGGATTGGTCTCTTATTGGTTTAGTTATCCAATCGATAATTCAAAATCCAGGCTTGCGCACTACGCTTGAGCACGCCTAACTGAGCGACTTATGCAAATTCCTTCAAAAGATTTATATACCCATTTCACCGGCTCGGCTTCACAGAATGGAGTTTGGAGTCGATATAGTTACTTTATAAATATATACTCAATTTTAATCATAAAATATTTAATGTTTAAAGTTCAACGATAAGAAGTCATTGAACAACTTATTAAACTGTTAAGCTTGGTTTAAATCTGAACTCAGCCTGAACCGAGAAAAAACTTTCTAAATATTAAAAAATGTTTTTTTCTGTAGTATCAAGTCGCACAATTTCTAAAATACTTGAATGGTTTAGATAGCCATGAAGTAAACATTTTGATTATTTAGTCAGTGATCCCCAAGTGGTCCAGTGGGCCACGGCACGATGCAAATATCAATCGTTAGTCTTTACTTTTTGTGACGAGTTTTGGGAATATAGTAGAAATGCAGTAGCAGGATGTCCACCAAAACAAGTAAAATCTTGAAAGCGGTCTACGAGAAATAAAGTGTGGAAACCTGCGATTTTGACTCACCTCCCAACCTTCGACGCGCTGTTGCCACCCCGCCAACTTCTCCAAACTCTCCATTCGCCTCTTCCTCTCGTTGATCAACATGGCCACGCCCCTCATCACTTCCAAAGCCTCCTTGATATTAGCAAAATCCTCGTGATCGGTTCTCGTATACTTGAGAAGTTCGGCCAGCTGAAGCGGGTACTTGCATATCCTCTGAACCGGGGTCAACAAGTAGCCGTCCAAGGGTATTTCGATGAGTCCGCGCATCAGTCGGCAAGCCTCGAAGAATTTGCTGTAGTTGTTGTATTGGTAGAGTTCTTGTAAAGCGGCTGTCGCCATGGGATGGCTGGAAAGAAATTATTTATTTTGATTAATTAGTTCAGATATTGATTAGACAGAAACGATTTTCTAATAAATAACACAAAACTGGGAATAGTAGAAGAATACTTATATTTGGGACAACTAATACACAGCTCGGGATGTCTACTACCAGAAATCAACCGAAGAATTATGTTGGAACGGAGTACTTATGGAAGAAATTCAATCATATTTCATATTCAAACGCCACTTTATCTAAAGAAGAAAACATTCGACCAATGTCTCCTACCAGTCATGACCTATGCAGGCAAAATCTGAACACTTAAAACGGATATTATAAGGGAACTGCATATTGCACAACGCTCAAAGTTAATCAGATGTTGAGTTTTTAGATCCAATATGGATAAAAAATGTAAGTATTCGAGCATATTCTGTCTTGGCATTTTCCAATAATTGTTCTTACATTTTAATTATTATTTCTTATATTTCATTTTTTAATTTTTCTTACTTAATTTTTTTTACTTTCTTCAATAAATAGACTTTTTTTTATAACGGTTGTTTTAATCTAAAGAGAGAACCTGGAACTTAAGCAACCTTAGACAAAAACCTCAAATCTAGGTCGCGACGATATGATTAGTATTATAAATAAACAAAAATTATCTGGACCAAGAAACTTCGTTTGTTTCACACTTTAGTTTTAGATTTTTTCGACCTTTATGACAATGATGGGTTTAGGTTTTTTTTAATATTAGGTTTATTTTTTAGTTATAGATTGGCTATAGATTACCTTTAATTTCTTGCAATATACTAAATCCCTTATGATACATTTACGAGTTTGATTGTGATGAAGTTATGAGAGGTATATTTTGTGTGTATATTGATCGGTGGCCTATTACTTAACTATAAATATGTTTAACTAATGAGCATAACACGCTCGAGATAGGAATAGACGCCAAAGACATTAGAATCATACAGGAACTATATTGGAACCAAACCTCGGAGATAAAAGTTAACAATAACTTATCAACAGACATCTTCAATGTGTATAAAGGAGTCCGCCAGGGCTGTATACTGTCACCAGTCACCAATACTATTTAATATACGTCGAAAAGATATTTCAAATGGCTCTGGAAGGAGAAAGTGGAGGAATTAAGATTAACGGAGTTCCAGTTAACAATATAAGATATGCAGATGATACGGCAATCCTAGCACCAAGTTTAGAGGATCTCCAGCAAATAATAAATAAGACAGAGGACATGGGAAATCGTTTCGGTCTTAAAATCAATGCTACCAAGACCAAACTTATGGTAATAGGATGCCAGCCTATAATCACCACCGCATTGACGGCGGATGGAAATATTATAGAGCGAGTACTATGATTTAAATATCTAGGTGCCATGATCAATGAACGATGGGACTGCGGTGAAGAAGTTAAACTGAGAACAAATTATTCAAAATCAACATTTTTCAAACTTAAAAACTTCCTATTAGCACGCAGTCTCCCGCTAGCACTTAGACTACGGGTAGTAAAATGCTACATATGTTTCATCTTACTATACGGCGCAGAAACGTGGTCTCTCAAGGCTAGAACCCTGAACCGCATCGAAGCTTTCGAAATGTTTCGAAAAAAAGAAAAGTTTCATACCTCGGCTATATCCTTAGAGGAGATAAATATTACATCCCTAAGCTGATTCTAGAAGGAAAAATAGAGGAACGGTGAGGCCCAGGAAGAAAACAACATTCCTGGCTAAGAAACATACGGGATTGGTGTAACATCAGTGACGCAGCCACCATATTTCGAAGGACCGAAAACGGCACTCTACACATTATTATGAAGAGTACAGACAATGGCCAACGTGCGGCTAAGCACAATGCACAGGAAGAAGAACAATGAGCATAGTCTTTTGAGACCTTTAGTTTAAGAATTTAAATAAAGTAAAAATAGTTTTGAAAACAAGCAAAATGGGGGCTTATCAGTGACGATGTCTGTGAACATGGTGAAATCCAAAACATGGCGCATTTTTAGTCAAGCCATAAGATTTAGATCTTTTAGGTAAAGGTATGAGGGCACCTTTACCCTAGAGGATTTATGGAACGTCGAAGAAAATAGACGTTGCTCGGTACTGCGCTAAAGAATTTTAAATTAAACTTATAAAATGTACATACGATCTGGACACGAAAAAGTAAGTAACTTTTTAAAATATTAAATAAGTCATACAGGCATACTTTATATGTGACATTGTATATAAAATGCATTTCAATACCTATATGTTTGCACTTTGAATAAGAAGACTAAGGGAGGAGCATAATGCTATCCATGTATTCATGCATGGTGGGCGGAAAAAGCACTCTAGGGTGGGGATCCTTGACAGTTCTGTTTGACGATTCATTTGACACATTTGAATTTGATTTGAAATTTTATGGATTTGTCAGTCTTTACGGAGCTTATTTTATGTTATTTATTATTTATTCTACTACTGATAGTTGTATAAAGGTAGTAAATGTAGATGGAAATTGTGGCAGAACTTAAATTAACAGTGACACTATCGCGATTTATCGAAAAAGACTCTAAACTAGTTGGTTGTGTAGCGTGCGGTAGATCTCGGCAAAAATCGAGTGTAATAATGGAACAACTTTTCGCTAGTAAGTGACTATATAATATACATACGTGTAGTAAACCGATCATTTATGAAATTCACTTAAATTAACTAATTATATATTTTTTCTTGCATTTTTGCTTTTATTTACTACTTGTCAAAGATTAGATGTCAAAGAATTTAGATACGTCAATTTGATTTACCAGATTTACCTGCTTCAGTAGCGTATCGGATGTTTGTGTTAATAAATAATTATTATAACTTATCTATTTTTATTAGAATTATATATTTTTGTAACAATTTTAATAAACCAACATTTATTCACAACGTCAAATAAAACAACATATTATTGAGTCTACCCCACGCCTACCCTACATCATAGTTTCACATTTTTTAAATAAAATTAGAAAGGCACTGATAAACCGGAATTTAAGTCGGCCATATTTGAGGCCCATCGTGGGGACCTAAGATTTTTGATATGCTCCTTCCTTAGTCTTCTTATTCAAAGTGTTTGCACAATATGATCGAAAAAAAACTGCGTCAGCGAAAGCTATTAAATGAAGATCGCTGTCATTTTAAATGACAGCCATGATCTGAGCCTGGACCATGAAATGAGCGATCATCATTTCCAAGCCAACTGGATGCCTTTTTTTATCATATGGTAAATTAATATGCGCATCATTACTTTTTGATAAGTGGATAATTTATTTCCAAATATATGCGAATCATAACAGACTAAATTGTGAAAAATAATTTGATTATTTTGATATTTAACATAAGTGCCTTTATCTTGTACGAATTTAATAGAAAAATTTCTAAAATTAATATGTAGTGGATATTATTTATTGGTATACTCCGGAAGTGTGAAAATATTATAAACTGTATAAAGATAAAGAAGCCTTTTTAAAATTACATTTGCCTAAATACAGATTTCTTATTCTGCAACTTAATGTTACACAAAACTTGTAGATCTTGCCTGTTAGTAGTGTTCTATTTTTAAGTTGTGTAGATATTCTATTTTTAAGATTTCATATTATTTAACTTCTACTTATGACATTCCTAATTATTTTTGCCATAAATAAACATATTTAAAAAAATATATTTTTCTCTTTACATTAAGACACTGAGACTATGTCAAATCTTGAAAAAGGGATTATAATCCCTTTTTGATTGAATATATTCAATCTGCTGTGAAATTAAATTGTAAATACACAGTTTTTTATAACTTGTTTGCATATTTTATTTCAAAATAAATTAATGTTCCATACACTAAACATATGTTGAAAATACTTCTGTGTTTTCCGCCACTTGAAGAAATTCCACAAAATAAAATAGTTATTTTTTGTAAACATCACTGGCGTTGATTCAAGGGAGACCAATTTGTTAGTGTATTTTACCAATTAAACAAATTTGCTTAACGGACAAAGAAAAGCTTAAAGTTTTAGGAGGTACATCTCCTCTCAGTGTTTGAAGCAAAAAATAACACAAAGAACAAAGAAAAGAATATTTAAAATATCTCACTACGACTATTAAGAACGCTTTAGTTTTTAACAGATACGTCAATTATAAACTGTTGACGTTTTTTAACATTATTTTACATTTTTTTTAAAGAAAGAAACTCGCCACAAAGGTAAGGTATTTACTAACCATATGGTTTGTCTATCTTTTTTGTATATTATCTGTTTTAAACTATGCCGTATTAATTGATCAAAATAAACCATACAGCCAATATCTACGGTAGAAATAAACTATCCATTATCCCCGTAAAACAATTTTAAAACGTTTTAAGAAGCTTCTTGAATTAAATTTTTATCTTTCGAAGTATATTTTCTGGCGACTCTTTTCCCAGCTCAAATTTATCCCACTTTAGCAACCGTAAATAAGAAATGAGTACTAAAACTAGAAGTTGCCTGGTCTTGAGCCGGATGTTTAAGTAATTTTTCATGATTCCAATGATATATGACTTAAAACTTTTCTTAGAATTTTATTTTATTTTTGAGAAAATTATATTTGAGAGAGTATATTATGTTTATTGAAATATGATTCTTGACAATGTCTCTTCATATTAACTAAAACTGGTAACATGGTGGCCCTTGCCGTTTTGCAATAAATTTTATTTTATCGTACTCTATATCTTATGAGCTTAATATAGTAAACTATAACTGCGGTGTATTATTTAACTGCACGTGGATTTTATGATCATAAAACAGAACTTTGTATAGGCTTGGTGCATTCTCCGCCGGTGCTGCCACCATCGAAGAATATCGTAAACAACTAGTACTTACAAATACACGGGTTTAAATAGCGAGAATACGAGAAATTTATTATTTAATTATTCTAAAAGGGTTAGGAAGTATAATTTGTGAAAATTCTAAAAATAAAAATAAAAAAGGAAATATTTTGATATCTTCATAGATATGACTTGTATTATAATGTATTATTCCAGCTAAAAAACTTTTTAGATGAGTTAAACTAAGGTAGCCAGGATAGTTTTAATCACCGGTTTTGCTAGTGGGGCATAAATGGGGCTATTTCAGCTGTAGCGAAATTTTTTAAAGGTACGTAATTATAATTTTAGAAGATTTAATCATATTATAATGATAATAATAACATTTAATCACTTTTTTGTCATTACTCACTTGTTTCATTGAACATTTTTGCTTTTGATCAAATTGGCGTGAGAAACCATGAAGCTATAAAATGTTGTTTCGGGAGAGTTGAATATCCGGGAAAGTTGAGTTATTGAATGTTATTGCACCCAACAACGCCCTAATTACGCTCTACTTTTTTCGGCATTTTTATTATCATTTGAAATTATCACAACACAACACGACGCCTAGTTCGAATTCTTTTTCACTTATTTTTTGCTACCTGAAACAGCGTTACATCACACAAACCAAAAAGTGTTTTATAGTCTCAATAACTGCACTAGCAAAAAACTAAAATACTTAAATATTATGACAAAACCACGATTTCAATATTATTTTAATGCGATCAACATGACGGCTACGTGGAACAGGTACTGATAAATTTCCGATCTTTGTCGTTGAAGCGTTGCGGTTGGAATTTGTTGAAATCAACTGAAATGCACCAAGCCTATAGGGTGTCCCAAATTCGAGGGTGATCATTGGAATATCGGAATCCATAGGGATATGAAGCAGGTCAAATAATGGCGAAAATAATTAAAGTGTCAAATTTTACATATACCGAGCATTTCCGAATGTATTTAAGACTGTCTTTGATGTTTCCTGGATTTATTGGAAGAGATATTCCTAAATAAATGTCACTTTACATTGTTACTGTTTTCTCTTTAAAATATATTGCAATTACATTTTAAATCAGACGTTTTTAGACCAGCATTAGTTTTTTTTAATAAGCACCGATTTTTTAAATACAGATTTCTAATTTTCACTTTAAAAAGCTCATGACCTTCCAAAATAATAATGATGTAAGGTAGTTACCAAAAAAATTTTGCTTGTTTTTTACGCATTAATAATCGAATGTAATTCTACAAGATGTTTCGGGATTACCGAATACTACTTTTACCTGACACGAAATGCGTTACCCGGCAACACTACGACTCCGAAGAAGGAGTAGTGTTGACGGTATCGCCTTGAGTGTCAGGCAAAAGTATTAGGTAATCCCGAAACATCGAGTTGTATTCAAAATATTATACAACGAAATAAAATATTTGTCTGAACGCTCGGTATTTCTTGGCTTCACATTTTTAATAGCATTGTCGACTTGAGGCAACAAAATTTTACCAAATCTTTCTTTTGTCATTTTATAATAAGAATTGACGGGATATTTTGTGGAACTGACAGAAATGACTTCTGAATTAATATTTCAAAAAATGACAATTACAATATGGCCACGAAGCGATAATCACTTAAATGATTATCACTTATTAATCACATTCTTGTATAGTCTGTCCAACGAGAATATCCTTGACAGTGATAGATGTGTCTGTCATTTTAATTTCAAAGTAGTTTATTTTATTTTACGAAGAAATAAGTTGGTACAACTGGAACGCATAGCAGGAAATATTTAAAATTTGATTGACAAGATGACAAGTGATTACTTCAAAATATTGTGAAAAAAACTGTATAAAACTGAAAAATGTAATCGAGTTATTTTATTTAATAAAACCGGTATGTGTTAATACAAAACAAACAAGAACAAGACACTACATACCAAAAAAATATAAAAAAGAACTAATTTTTACTTTCAAGCTTTATGAAACTACCCGCATTTATGATTATATTTATCAATATAACTTATGTACAAATATAAATTTGTAATATTCCACAGGAATAAATAAAACATCATAGGTAAATAAAACAAACTATTTTATTAATAATAACACCTACCAAATTTTATACCTTAAAGGTTGATTAATTAACTTTAATCTTAATTTTTTTAAACCAGTACCTTTTGACATTATTTTTCTGCAGTACTAAAATCCATTATTTACCTATCGTGTGATGTCGATATTTTACAGCTACTCCAGTTTTTAGTATGTGTTTAGTTTGATCCTTCTACCATATATGAGATGCACTTATCTACGACGAGATGGTATACAAACTTTAACGATGGCAACTTCATTGGTGTATAAGACTTTCTGCCTGGGTAGCGAGTATTAACCATAAACTGTGCTCTGGGTCTACAGTTAATTTTCACTCGATTTTTCCTCCACTTGACTTCAAAAAAAGACACAAAACACACGTAATAATACGAATCAAAATGCATCATCTTCCAAAACGCAGGGTATTTAACAAAAGTTGACACAAAATTATAACCTATAATTTGGCAAGACTTTGACAAGCGTCAAAAATGACAAAAATCTAAAGGCGAATTCATACGCATCGGCGTCCGTTTATCGTTCATCGTTCCGTCAAACCAATAAAATTGAAATACGATCTGTCATTTTTTAAATAAACCAATAAAACTGGTTAAAAACAACAAGACACGACGCATGACGGATTTATATTTAAACCCATCCATAGATAACTTAAAAATTATTAGAAACTTTTTTTAGTAAAATAAATAGATTGGTATGGGACGTCATCTGCTTTTCTTCTGTCATCGTCTGTCGAAATCTTACCTGAGAAAAAAAAACAGAGTATATATAGAAAAAATATACATAGAGTTGTATAATCAAAGTAATCCGTATATCCATCTCTCTTCAACACAAGTCAAGTGTCATTTAGTTCAAGTCATTAGCCGGAAACATTATTCTTAAAAATGGAATTAAAATAGCGTTTGTTGTTATGGTAATTATGTTGTTTTGTATTGATACAAACCAAAGGTTGAAAAAATTGTGAATCAGACCATGTGTCACACATGTGAATTTACACAGGCTGTTTAAAAAACACGGAAAAATGCAAGAAGCTATTTAGTATATTCCTGCATCAATTTTTAAGGAAGCTCAAAAAGCAACTACCCATTAACTGCCTGCGAAGTCTAGAGAACATTACGAAAAAGTTTTGAATGAATTTAACGAGTGGAGATAAAAACGGAGGGCATTGAAGAATAAATATGCAACTTATCAACAAAAATAAAGTTGAATGTACAGTGGTGTCAAATTGGACGCTTTTTTAAGGGAAACACCCTTTTTTATAGGAGATAGACGAAAACTAATATCGGTATCTGGAGCTCAATTTTGATTAAAAACATGATGGTGAAAACTGCACATCGATATTTGTTACCGTTTCGGAGTTACGGGGTGTTTTTCAAAAATGTGTGTTTTTAACAAATCGCTGTAACTTTTTTGCTATGGAAAATTTTGTATTTCTATGAAAATATTTCCAAAGCACCTTACGTAGAATTTAATGATATAAGTATATTTTTTTAAAAATTAATAATTAAAGAGTTATCAACAGAAACAATGATTTTTTATTTGGGACAGCCTGTATATTTTTAATTAACTGAAAAGAACTTAAAATTACCTTTCCAAAAATATAGCACACTTGATATTTTGGTATAATCCCCTTCGAAATACAGAATTTCTAAAAGTTCGCCATTTTTAACTAGTAGGCTTTGGACCCCTTATTGATGATATGCCCCTAATGAAACTCGAAAACATATTTTTCCAGCAATACGAGGCACCGCCTCAGAACGCTGAAGATGTCAGAAAATGTTTGCAGCCAATTTCGAGAATAATTGAATAGCTAACCAAGATCCTAGCCGTCTGCCGTCGAGGCCGCTGGATTTAATGCCTATGGATCTAATCCTTTGGACATCTTTGCGGAAGAATAAAGGTCCTTATTTTTAAATTACCCGTCTAATCTAGATAAGAATTAGAAATACTTAGCAGTTATGAGAGGGCATCTTTTACCCCCACTGAGTTAATGAATTCCGCGAGAAATGTTCAAAAACGGCCCCGTCTGTCCATAACAGAAAACGGTCGATATGTCGAACATCTGTAGCAAAATTTCATGTCTTGGTTTGTTATTTGTTTTTATTGTTATTAGATATAGTTTAAATGTGTTGATATTGATTAAATATAGTTCAAATTGTTATAAAATTCTACATCTCTCATTGCAAATATTATTTTCGTTTTAACTGATGCTCACAGCTAGAATTTTTTTGCATTACAGCCGGCGCTGTTCAAAGCCTATTTATTTAAAGTGGACGAATTTTTATAAACTCTATATCTCGAAGAGGAATCGAGCAAAATATCAAGTGTGCTATATTTTTGGAAAGGTAATTTTAAATTCTGTTCAATAAATTAAAAATATACAGGGAGTCCCATATAAAAAATTAAATTTTCTGTTGATAACTCTTAAATTATTAACTTTAAAAAAATTATACTTAAACCATTAAATTCTACGTAAAAAAGTGCTTTTTAAATGTTTTTATAAAAATACCAAATTTTCCATAGCAAAAAAGTTACAGCGATTTGTTAAAAATGCACATTTTTGAAAAACACCCCGTAACTTCGAAACGGTAACAGATATCGATATGCGGTTTTCACCATCAAGTTGTTGAACAAAAATTGAGCTCCAGACACCGATATTAGTTTTCGTCTCCTATAGAAAATCTCCTATAGAAAGGGGTATTTCCTCTTAAAAGCGTCGAATTTGACCTACCCTATACTTATTATGGGCAATATCATAAACAATCAAAGTTACTAACCTATTGCAATAATCTGAGTACATCTTAAAACCAGCGCTGTGTTTGAGAAAGCAATCCCCCACGCAGCTCCGGTGCGGCGCCTCCCAATCCACGCACGCCTCCAGGTCCCTTAGAAAACCTTTCTGGAACCTCAATATGCCCTCCAAGTTTATGAAAATTGTCGAGATTCGCTCCTCGTCGAACATGTCCTCTCTTTTACGGCACTCCGAAAGGTAGCCCTCCGCCACGTCTTGCAGTACTTTGACGAAGTCGCGTTCGGTGTGGACTAGCTCACGAACAACACTCGTACGAACCTGGAAAAATATCAATGAGACATATGTTAACGTAATAGAATTATCCCACATACATTATTGTATTGTAAAGTATACGGGGTTGATCAATAATACCTAATCCCATGTAAATTTTGAAAAAGTCAAATATCATCTCCTCAGATAATTTTATGCAAAAGTTCTATTAGACCGAGTGGCAAACCACTGGTGGTATTTATTGTACAAGCACTTGGTAATACTGGTATTTTTTGGTACTAATTTGGTATTATTTGGTAATAAACTGGTATTATTTGGTAATAAACTGGTTTTATTTGGTATTAAACTGGTATTAAACAGGTATTTTGTTGGACATCTGGCAACGCTGGATTAAATGCACGTGGCGACGACGGCCGGGAAGCTGATTGCATCATTTCTAGCCCATTTGCATCTAAAGCTAATACTGAAAAATATCTATATTTCTAGCCCCAAGTACATCTAAAGCTAATACTGAAAAATATTTGGAATCTAAAGGTGCTTTGACAAAATCGTTTAGTTCTGGAAGTCTTTCAGAAGATACTACTCTACATGTTTTGGAAACTGATTATACCCAAGAAAATAATATCGTTTCTAAAATACTAAAGCAATGGTTAAAGTCAATAATTGGTGATGAACTGCAATAGTCTGTTTAATAACATTATTTTTAGCACATCAATTTTACTTCCAAATTCTACTGCAAACTTCGAAACAAACTCGATTTCGGGATCAACTTTAATATCCAAAATAACCTGCTTTTGTAAAAAGCACGTAACTTTACAAATAAAATATCATCCTTCTACAAAAACCACAAAAACAAGAGTTACAAAGGCACGCTGGGTAAGCTTTTTTTTCCCAAATAACCTAACCTAACATAATTGATAAAGCATTTTGATATAACAAATAAATTATTTATACCAAAAATTAGTAATAATCGCAGTGTTAAATCCGAGGTAAGCAATAATTCTTCAAATACTACCTCTGAGGCACAACCAAAAATAATTTCATTTCTAAAAAGCCTTCTACCGAGTCTTCTACCGAGCCTTCTACGGAAAATACCGAGGAAATTACAGAGGCATGCAAACCCTCATGTAGCAAAATTGTACCCCCTCATCTAATATGTGAAGCTCCCTGTAATCAAAGAAATCCTAATGTAAAAATACTAGACTGCGTAATTATCGCCCCACCTAAACGAGCCCCGGAACTACCCTTATCAGCCGCCACTTTAGCCATACCATCCACAAGCAATAATAATTATCTCCCCGATGTTACCCCTTTACTACCATTATCAGCTGCAGCTTCAACCTTGCCGTCATCAAGCAATAATTCAATTTGGAAGTCTACAAAATACAGCCGCAAGCAAAGGAATAAAAGAAAAATTGAAAAGTTTCAGTATAATCAACCTCTTATAACCAACTTTATTTCGATATTAGAGAAAATAAATTCTACTCTTAAGGAAAATGGAGAAATATCGAAAGCTCTTAAGGAAACGATGATGGTTTGTCTAAATGAACCCGAGAATGAACCTGATGAGAATTAGCCAGAATTGAGGCCAGAATTAATGCCCGCAAACAAATTTTTAAGCATTTTTGGTATTTTTGGTTCTAATTTGGTATTTTTTTGAAACTAATTTGGTATTTTTGGTATTTTTTTCCCAAAATTGGTATTTATTGTACACCATTTTTGGCAGCGGTTTGCCCCTCTTATTAGACTTTTGAAGAGGCGTTAAAGTTGTATTTTCGTCTAGAATTTCATTTTATTTGGAATAAGCATTTAAATGAAATTTGCAAAAATCTACCTTCAAATTACTAACATTTTAAATACGGACCAGAGAAAGCTAAAATTAAAATACCAGGAAAAATTTGATTTCTCATTGTCAAATTCGATGTCACATTTTATTGAGGACCACAATTATAATAGAAGTTACAGCTGAAGTTCGGTATTATTGGTCTACCCTGTATGCACTTTGTATGTTTTTTGTACGCACCTGATCGTTGGACAGTAACGACACGCTGGTCCTCCGCCTGATCTGCGCGGAAGCCGGCCTCCCCCTGCCGCGATCGCCGCCAGACAGTCCTCCACCGTGTCCTCCTGGCTGACGCGCAGCCGCACGAACTGCGCCGGGAACCACCCGGTCTTGTTCCCCGTCGAGCCCCCACCACCAGTCGCGGTCATCCATGTCTTCCCACCTCCACCACGTCGCCCGCCCTGAAGGCCAGCAATTCCGGCTCGAGGGCTATGTGGTGGAAAACGGCCTCGGCTAGAACGACCAGGTTCTCGTCGGTACCGGCCAGTTCCAGGGATTTCTTGCGGCCGCTAAAGGAGGCGATGGACGACACGTCAGAATCGGAGGTGGTGTCGTCGTCGGAGGTGTGGCCGACGGCGCGGTTCTCGTGCTCGTCTTCGCTCACTGCTACTGGGCGATCTGGAACTAAAACCAAATTATTATATGAGAAAAAAGGTCAGATATGATATGGCTGAGTTCCGATTGCCATTACACAGTAAGAAGCTTTGAGGAATAAACGTAGTATGCATGCGGATACTCAATAACCAGCAAAGGTATACTTGGTTGGTGCTGAATTAGTTGTAAATATTTCGATTATAAATACTACAGTAGTTCAAATTTAATTATCTTAATAATAAGAAAATGCCTAAGAGAAAAAAAATAAGTAATGTTTTCAAGAAAACTACATATTCTTGCTTCATTCGTTTGTTAAGAAATACGGTTGTGATTAGAAGCTAGTTTAAAAAATTATTGGAAATAGGATAGGAGAGACTTTTTTGCCATTTCTGGTACTTTAGCTCTCATAAGGAAAATCCAAGAAATATTCTAGAAAGAAATGCTTTTTCTAACCTTTTTTATTATACAGAACTTAATTGGAGTAAATTCACAAGCGATGTGGAGCATGACATTAAGCACAAAGAAAGGTATGGAAGATACTAAAAAACAGAAAGAAACCAGTGAACGAATATGTACAAACAAATGGAGTGTACAAACAAAGGAAATTAAGACCTGAGAAAAATACTTCACAGAATTAGACAGCAGCATAATATAAGATACAATAGATATTGAATTTTCAATATCTTCAGGAAAAGAAATATTTTAATAGAAGATAAAAAGGAATGCAGTCAAGGCTAAAGGTTAACTAACAAGAAACATGAACGAACGAACGAATGAATTAAATTTTACTGGCATAACAGATTTCAAAGAAGACTAAATATACTAGGATTCAAGACTTAAAATCTTGTATTACACTCAATATTAATTTAATCTATTTGTGTAATAAAACTGCTGAAAAACTTGTATATATCGAAGCTTCGTTTTGAATTGCTATACTTAATTTGGCCTGTATAATATTTGATCATTAAACTAATATATTAATTTAGTCAATTTATCAATGATCCGATATAATTGTGTTAAATTTGAATAGATTTAAATAATGTAAATTTATCTTAATATTAAGAACTTTAGTAAAGCTTCCTAGTTGGAATCACTTGAAATTAATTTCATACAGACTGCAATATAATGGAAGCGAGAAAATTACGGGTTTTATTATTTTATGTACACATATGTATACTAGGAAAAAATCAAGATGACTGATAATATTTTCCCAGAATCAATTTTTAGTATTCGAATGAATAATACTTAAGTAAAGGATAATTATTCCGTAGATAAATTTTATATAATGCAGTAAAAAAATAAGGTACAGATTATTATACAGGGTGGGCCTTAAGTAAGTGCAAATATTTTCAGGGCTTCTAGGTCTCGATAAAAGAAACCGAGATATTTTACTTTGAAAATAAAAAAAAATATATTCTTTTGCATAAATTTTGAGAACAACTAGAATTTTTCTATGATTTTTTTGTAAATTATATTTTATTATATCTTGTTAATTTACTAGCTCTGTTGCCATTTAATCAAGATATATATAAAAAAATATGTGCGAATCAGAATCGAGAATAAAAGATTTTTCACGATATGCTGCTATAGCCTAACTGTTAATTAGACTAAGAAAAGAGCATTAAATTATAATTATGTAATATATTTGATTAATTTTTGTATGTTCTGGTACTGTATAAATAATCGTGTTTCTGGCTAATTACATTTATTCTTGTTTTTAGTGTATCTGATAACGCAGAACCCTCGCAAGAAACTTAATATTACAACTCGTTTATTTATTATTTATTTACATTTCGTCCTTTCAGAAAATAATTTCAATTAATTACAGTCAACAAACAACGTCTTGAATATTCCATTATATACTCATTATTATATCTGTTTGCTAAAGGAAAGTCTGTAGTAAACATCTGACTGTTTATTAGACTTAATATAAATTTATTAGAATCATATGCCCTGTTTGTAGTATAATTAATATTTTAAAAATTGTAATAGTGTTAAGTGTGCATTAAGCTAGTAAGTACAAGATCGAAAGTGTTTAGAAGTTCCTTGTACTGTTTTGTGATCGCAGCGATGGCGTACTAATGATTAATTTCCCTCGGAACCGACGTAGAATTAATATTGACTTAAAAAATTACGAAAATTACGTATTTTGTATCAAATTCCTCCAGATCCATTAGAAATGCCTAACCCCGGTTTGTTTGAGTTAATACTAGTTACTAGTATTATACTAGTTAATACTACTTATTAGTAACCTTGTTATTGATTTATAACATTTCCCAGGCTGCCTGATACTAGGTGATGAAGAACTACCTTCTCCAATACTCACGACTCGAAAAAATCGACCCAAGAGAGAGGACTGGGAAATTGCGAACAAAGTAATCACCTATAGAGAGACTAAAGGGGTGATCGACAGTTTTACGATCGACCCATTTAAATCCAGCAGAATGCTGATTTAATCGAATATTGCAGAAGGCTGAAAACATTATCGTCCCCGGTCTATTAAAGATCTTTAGGGCAAGTCTGGCATTATCACACCTGCCAGCTGTTTGGACGAGAGTAAAGGTGGGGAAACAAATACTACAACCTGGCTCATACCGACCAATAAGCCTTACATCCTTTCTGCTGAAAACCTTGGATAAGATATTTGATGAGCATATTAGAGGGACAATCACGTCTAACCCTCTGAATGTTAAACAATATATTTATCAACAGGGAAAATCAACAGATCTAGCCCTCAACAATTTGGTAGGGGAAATTAAGAGTACCTGATAGGGATATTCTTAGACATTGAGGGACCATTTAACAATGTTACCCCTCAATCACTCCTATGGGCTGTAAAAGACCGAGGAATCGAAACAACCATAACTGCAAAATAAAAACACTAAATCACCACAATACACCAAAACACTTTTACTTTTACACTGGACGCGCGTTTCGCTAACCATGTTAGCATCATCAGCAGATGATTATAAACTAAAGTACAATCTACAAGTTGAGCGTTTATATACTTGCCCAGTGGGCACCGAGTGGGCGTGGCAAAAACTAGCCAACCGAGTCAGAGCCAACTGAGCGTAACAGTTAGATTTCCGCCACTAGAGTAGTAGGAACAAAGAACTTGAAGGAATTGGACCGTTGTCTCTGTTCATACTATCTTTACATTTATTAATTCTGATGCTTTCATATGCATCTAATTGCCTGTAATTTGAGACTTGTTTAATTAATTTTAAATTATTAAGATCTATACAATGTTCTTTATCAACAATATGTTCGGCAACGGTCCAATTCCTTCAAGTTCTTTGTTCCTACTACTCTAGTGGCGGAAATCTAACTGTTACGCTCAGTTGGCTCTGACTCGGTTGGCTAGTTTTTGCCACGCCCACTCGGTGCCCACTGGGCAAGTATATAAACGCTCAACTTGTAGATTGTACTTTAGTTTATAATCATCTGCTGATAATGCTAACATGGTTAGCGAAACGCGCGTCCAGTGTAAAAGTAAAAGTGTTTTGGTGTATTGTGGTGATTTAGTGTTTTTATTTTGCTGTTTAACACCAAAGGTTCCAACCCTCAACTGTAACCATAACTGAATGGATTAGCAAATGCTTAAAAAAGAATAGTAACGACCTCGCTCAGCGGTGAGTCTGTTAGGTTTGTTCCGGATAGGGATGCTCGTCGGGAGGGTTTTTTCTCCGCTTCTGTGGACTCTGTTAGCGGAAGACCTGATGGCAACCATTGATGCATACGATGTTGAAGCATAAGCATATGCGGATGACTTGTAATCCTAGTAAAAGGGTACAAAGAGGAGGACATCTCAAAGATACAGGTCTTAGATGTAATTCGCGGTAAAACCACGCTAGATGTAGGAGACATATCACCCTCGGACATAACAGCCTATGTTAAAAGGTTGGGTCTTGAGGGTGAACTTTAATACTCATTTTCTTTTAAATAGTATACAGGGTTTCTCACCGTAGCCGTTCGTTAGAAGTTTTTGAGGTTAGGAAATACTTAGAAGTTTGAAATGAAAGTTTGAACTGATTAGATTATTTTCAAACTCAAAAAGTCAATTTTTTCAAATGAGAATTTCCTATATATTTTTCGATAGTTGGATGCAGAATCCAATTCTGCATTGATTTGCTATAACTTTCCCTATACCCATTTTCAACGGTTTTCCTTTTAATCCGTATATTTTACTTTAATTCAATTTTTGGCAGAATCGACAATATCGTTTGTGTTTTATAAAATAAAATAATTATGTTAAAGTAATGAAATTGAAAGTAATTAGAACATACGAACAAAACAGGAACAAAACGAAAGTGAAAACGTATAAAATATAACATAACACTAGACGTATAGTAACGGTGAGGCATAATTAACACACTAACGTTAGTGTATCGCTACCATAATAAAAAAAGTAAACACAATAATTACAAAAATTATTATTCGAAGTGACCGCTATGAACAAAAATTTTTGTAATTATTGAGTTAACTTTTTTTTATTATTGTAGGGATACACTAACGTCTAGTATTAATAATTAATGCCTCACCGTTACTGTTGAAAATACGTTTGTTTTGTTATGTTATGTTATGTTATATTTTATACGTTTTCACTTTTGTTTTGTTCCTGTTTTGTTCGTATGTTCTAATTACATTCAATTTCTTTACTTTAACATAATTATTTTCTTTTAAAAAACACAAACGATATTGTCGATTCTGCCAAAAATTGAATTAAAGTAAAAAATACGGATTAACAAGAAAACCGTTGAAAATGGGTATAGAAAAATTTATAGCAAATGGATGCAGAATTGAATTCTGCATCCAACTATCGAAAAATATACAGGGTGTCTCATTTGAAAAAATGAACTATTTTGAGTTTGAAAATAATCTAATCAGTTATCAAATTTTGGACACCCTGTATGCAATAAATTAATTGTCAATATGGATTTCGAAAGTATTAGTCCTCTGCTTCGGTTTACCGCAGAAGCGTTTATCACCGATTCAAAATAAGTAAAAGACCGACTGTTAAAAATAGGGGTAAGTCTGTAAACATTTTCAAATAAATCAAGATATCTGAGAAACAGTTGAAAATAGGTATAGGGAAACCTAATGAAACTCATCATAAAATTTTCTTAGAAATCCAAAAGTAAAATAATATACAGGGTGTTTCATTTAAAATAAGGAAGTTAATGGCAACTTCCGGTGTAACCTTGAAAATATTTTTATATGAAAGGAAAGGTTAAATAACCCGAAGTCTCAAAATTTCAAACTTCGAAGTATTTCCTAACCTCAAAAACTTCTAACGAACGGCTACGGTGAGAAACCCTGTACAAGCTATGAGTCATAATAGGCCGTCGCGGCCGCAGTGAGGGTCACACCTGGGACCCATTCTTAGTAAATAACAAATACAACCTTGCTATTTTGAATAACTAAAACTAATGAAGTTATCATATTAGCCAATATCATAAATGGCTATTATTCAAACTAACTATAATATATTTCATATCAATTAAACTTTTAGTTACGTAATCGAAAGTGCGATTTTCGTTGTTGCCATCAACGAAATTCATTATTGCCAACCATGGCAACATATTCGGCGCCGTGCTGACTAACTGGAATATAAATTTCGCGCTGGCGATTCAGGTGGTCACTGACATTGTCGTTCGTTTTGACACTTTAGGTTTGTTTTACGAGTTTTTGGTTTAAATAAATAGTATTGTGATACTTCAAGCTTGAAAATCTTTACTAGCAGACCTTGCAGTCGAACATTGTTCTTTTTAGAACCTCCTTTAGTGCGAAGTGGTATAAAATAGCTACACCACTTGATGACTAAAAACTCATCGCAACTTTATTAGAATAAGTAGTAATGGCCATTTATGTCCCTTGAGTGCTGTTAAGAAGGTTTCGTTGATGTAAATAATAACTGTTTATATATTTATAATTAATTTATTTTCTAAAATATTTTGATCAAATGAAAATACAGGGTGGCCCATCGAAAACGTTCCGCAATGCATAACGGCTAGGGTATTATTTTATTCAAAAAATCCAAAAACACGTCAATTTTGTATGTGAGGGGGACAACTTTTGCCCCAAAAATGATTGCGAAATCTTCAACCCTCTGAGCGGGGGTGTCATCCCCCAACTTTTTTCAAATGGGAAGGGGTGTCAAGTGGCGCCGCAATGAAAAGATCTTTCTATTCTCTATATTTCCCTGCCTCGTTTTTGAAAATCGGTCGAGTCATTGAGGAAGTATAAAGGATTGAAATTTGAAAAGTTTATTTAAACATTTATCAGAGTAAATGTTAAGGATAAATTCCTTCGACCAATTTGAGTTTTTTTTCTTGTTATTTCTAGATGTTTACGCATTTTTTCACTTGCCACAAGGCTGAACGATCAGGTGCGGTAGTTGCTAGATTGTTGTTCTGTGACTTGTACATTGAAGATCTTCTCAATATCGTTAAACTGACCCACAATAGAACTTTCAAAAATACCAGCCCACACGTTCAATTTCTGAGGGTTTTGTGTGTGCACCTCGTGAAAAACCCTGCGGTTGTTTTCAGCCCAGTACCAACAGTTGTGCCGATTAACTACACCGTTCAAAAAGAATGTAGGGGAGAGCGGGTACAGTTGTAACAGTTTTTAGAAATTTATTTTTCAAAAATAGAATGAGAAATTTCGCGAACTGTACTTATTATCTTTAGATAGCCTAGATATTTATCATCAAAATGCACATAAGAAATCGAAGGTATATTCACCTATGTAGTCTTAAAAAAGGCAACAGTGGTGTGATGACATGTGTTACAATTGTACCCCGCGGTGGTACAGTTGTAACATAGAGGAGGAACAAATGTAACGTCTTTAGTATATTGACTTTTCATCTGAAGCAAATAAAATTTTAGCTCCTAGAATCTGACAAACGTTAAGATATGATTTGGATGCATTCAAACAATAATAATTGCTAGAAAATGAATGCCAACTTTTATTTACAATATGTGAAAAAACTGGTTCAGACAACAATCTTCAAAAGTTATACCTATTCTATAGAATTTTTTCTAAGAATAATTCTAACCTAGTCACAATCGTAGATTTTTCCAAACAGCGTTCTAAAAAAAACTAATGCGCCTATAAAAAATACAATATTAAAAACAAGATAATTAAAAACTTTAAAAAAATATCAACTTGCGAATTTCCCTTTTTTCCAAAAATGCTTTTTCTTGTTCGGGGGATAAAATTCGAGTATGTGGATTGTAACCACTTTAGGAGTTTCACCAGCTTGTATTTTTTTTAAATAACGGAAAAGTGTTACATGACAGAGGTCCAAACTTCTAGCAACTTGTCGAAATCCAAGATTTTCGTTCACAACCAAACCCGCAGCTCTTTTTATATGTTGTTTTGTAGGTCCCTTATCACTATTAATTATTTTTACTTAGGCATGTTAATTAAAAAAATGAGCACATCTAACGAAACAATGGGTAGGTATCATTGTAACATGCTACAAAAGTACCCTTTGCCATTGTTACAATTGTACCGAACTGACAAACCTGCACTTTTATTGAAATTAAAAAACTAGAGCAAAATTTACCTTAAACCGAACCATATCATGTTAAATATACATGCATAGGCTACAAAAGTATATACCTACATTGACTGTAAACTATCAGATATGATAGTTATTTAAAAACTGATAAAATGGCTTAAGTTTTGCTTTTGTGTCGATAAATAGATATAGCTCTATTCTTATATCACTGCACCGTTGCAAAAGTCTCAACTGTCGTCAGATTGTACTGAGTCTTAAACTTGAGTAACTGACAAGGTGCCATAATAATGTATTTGAATTTAAAAAAGTTATGGTACCTGTTACATTTGTACCGCGTTACAATTGTACCCGCTCTCCCCTACACTCATCTAAAAAACACACATTAAAAAGGAAATTATTATCATTCGCCACTCGTTCACTCATAGTTTCACAAAACTGCAAGCGACGATCAAAATCGTCTTCGTTCAGTTCTTGTACCAACAATTTTGTACGGGTGGAACTTGCTTTTTTTAATATCCTTTGGACACATGTACGATTCACGCCGGTCTTATTGGCTAATTTTCTTGTACTCAGCGTACTATCCATGGCAACTTGGCCCAATACGAATACCTCCATAGCTTCATTTACTACAGGATTTTCCCTCTGCCTCTGTTTATTCATAACGGAACCAGTTTCGCGAAATTTTGCTACTAACTCGCGAACAATTTTGCCATAAAGGTGGTTGTCAGGATGGCGTTCATTGAATATCTGCGCAACCCGATTGCCACATTCATTATTTTTAAAATAAAGTTCGATTATTTCTACTTTTTCTGCAAGTGAGTATACCATAATAATTGTTAAAAAATTTAACGATATTGAGAAGAACTTCAACGCATATGTCACAGAACAGCTATCTAGCAATTACCGCACCTGATCGTTCAACCTTATGGCAAGTGAAAAAATGCGTAGATATCTAGAAATAATAAGAAAAAACAGCAAATTGGTCGAAGGAATTTACCCTTATCATTTACTCTGATAAATGTTTAAATAAACTTTTCAAATTTCAATCATTCATATTTTCTCAATGACTCGACTGATTTTCAAAAACGAAGCCGGAAATTATAGAGAATAGAAAACCCTTTTCATTGCGGTACCACTTGACCCCCTTCCCATTTGAAAAAAATTGGGGGATGACACCCCCGCTTAGAGGGTTGAAGATTTTGCAATCATTTTTGGGGCAGAAGTTGTCCCCCTCACAAACAAAATTGACGTGTTTTTGAACTTTGTGAAAAAAAAATTACCCTGGCCGTTATGCCTTGCGGAACGTTTTCGATGGGCCACCCTGTATATAAAAGTGGGCAACGCTGTGTCGGTCAATCACGTGACTAAAAGTTTATTTGGTATGAACTGTAAGTGGTTAATATTAAAACAATGCTATAAAATCCTGATATTAACCAAAATTATTATGTATATAGTTTTCAAAATAACTGCTGGTTTCCGCTATTTTACACAAATAGATAATTTTTTATCAAAATTATAGAACTTTCAGTTAGCTTCCAAAATTAGGTTAATTTTAAATCCAGCTAGGTATCCTTTTCAGCAGTAACATATCTAAGTAAAAAAAGAGAATAAACTTACTTGCGATATCCTTTTCATCCAGCAGCGGCGACAACTTATCGATATCGATCGGCTGGCTGAGCGACCGCCTCAGCGCGGGCCTGCGCGGCGGCGCTCCGTGGTCGTGTTTGCGCAGCATCACCATCCCGAAGCGGTCCGAGTCGGGCGGGCGCTTGCGCGGACTCGCCGCCATGCCGCGCAGTAGGCGGCGCGCCGCCTGTCGCTGCTCCCAGCCGAGCAGCCGCTGGCCGCCCAGGTCGCTGCGCGAGCGCCTGACCTGACGGCTGCAGCCGGTGCTGCGCAGTTGCTGCTGTCTTAGGTCAGCCTGTAAAAGAAAAGATGGATTTGAATATGCATAATATATGTTAAGAGTTCATTTCACTAGTCCGAAAAAGTAGCAAAATTAGATTATTATATTATTAGATTTCGACATTTAACATTTTTTATGTAAAACTGGCTAGGTACCGTATGATCGAAAAAAAAATGGCGTCCAGTTGGCTTGGAAATGACGATCGATGACATTTCTCGGTACGTATTTGTATATAGTAAAAATGTGTTAATTGTTGTTGTCATAGTTATCGATCGGGCCTATGACAGTTATCGCAAATTTGTATCGACGAGGATTGGTATCTCTACCGTGTCCTTGTTAACCCCACGGTAGAGATACCGATAGTCGTCGGTACACATTTGCTATATGTCCTATTAATGACAGCTATAAAACTATGAAAACAACAATTAACACGGCGCTCATTGGCCGTACGTACCGATAGCTGCTGGTAACTTACCGATACCAACAATCGTCGGTATCGGTAAGTTACGACAGCTCTCGATACGTATTTGTATATAGTAAAAATGTGTTAATTGTTGTTGTCATAGTTATCGATCGGGCCTATGACAGTTATCGCAAATTTGTACGACGACTCTCGATATCTTGTCGTAACTTACCGATACCGACAATTGTCGGTATCGGTAAGTTACGACAGCTCTCGATACGTATCTGTATATAGTAAAAATGTGTTAATTGTTGTTGTCATAGTTACCGATCGGCCCTATGGCAGATATCGCAAATTTGTACCGACGAAAATCGGTATCTCTACCGTGCCCTTGTTAACCTCATGGTAGAGATATCGAGAGTCGTCGGTACAAATTTGCGATATCTGCCATAGGGCCGATCGGTAACTATGACAACAACAATTACGCTCAACAACAACTACGCTCATTGGCCGTACGTACCGATAGCTGTCGGTAACTTACCGATACCGACGATTGTACAGAATAGCGCCCCAGGAACACGTTTATGAGGTTTTTTTTCAAAGATGTTGAAAATCGTGTATTTTCTTTTAACTTTCCCTGTATATTTTTCGAAAACTTTTTAGAACTGCCTGTTCACCTCAAATTTTCCCACGGTATAATTTCTTAATCTCTGATATTACCATAGTTACGGCTTTACTCTATGGTTACGGCAAGGATATATAGAAGAAGGATATTCAACTCCCTATAGCGGGCTATGTTGGAAAATATGCCGTATTTTGTCGAGGAAGACGATTTCGTCACGACCAATGAGCGTCGAGTATTTGAAATTGAAAACATATAAATTGACGGTAACCTATGGACTTATCTGAAAAATGGTAAAGAGAAAATATGTTTCTTTTATCTAGATCTACCAGCCCTGAACATATTTGCACTTATTTAAGACTCATCCTGTATAATTTATATGGTTTTGTAACAAATTGCTTGATATTTTATGGCAAATGCTGAAGCTCTGCAAACCTTAATCAAGCCTTAATAAAAGCACGTGTGTTTGGAATTTTAGATGTGGACACGACAGGATCGGATCAGCAGCAAGTCTTAGGCAGATTTCTGAAATATAATATATACCAAGATTCCCTTGGTGTTGGCCTTGCAGTCTATAAGTAGTCTCTTGCAGTTTTTTAATAGGTTTTAATTAAAGGCTCTTTCTATACATGGTGTGTCTACAAAAAAAGTATTTCTACCAGCTCTGAAAATATTTGCACTTAAATAAGTAACTCCTGAAAGTATTTGCACTTATTTAAGACTCACCGTGTATAGAAAATAAATAGTATGTTAAGTAATTTATGTCGAAAAATAATTTATAAGCGATTTGTTAATTCATCAGAACTTTTTTGCAGTAAAATGGGATTGAATAACTTAATTGACAAACGAACCAGCAAACCCAGATTTTTTCGCTGTTTAATTTAGTGACATTTTTGGCAAATAACTTTCAGGGACACGGTCCCTGAAAAAAATACCCGTCATTTTTATCATTAATTATATTCTTACATTTTTATATTATTATTAATGCTAAAAAACAAAACTATGGTAATGCCAATTCTAATACCTTAGATTTAGTATTACAAATTTTATGGTTAAATATAAATCTCTTGCAACTCTAATTAAATGGAACTATTCTCATCAACTTCCAAACTCTTCCTACCTACTTTAATGGTTGAGCAAATAGATTGGTGCAACAAGTTCGAAGATAGAACTTTCTAATCCAAAGCTAGCTTAACAAAGTTAGACTTCCTGAAAACTAAACTTCATCAGATTCTATCTTCTTGTTTTATATAGACTCGGCATTAAAATAACTTTAATTATATTGATTGTTCGTTAATTTAATCTGATTAAAAGTAAGCTATATAGTTTGTCTCGAAGTTATGAAACAAGAAAAGTATTAACTTAAAAAACTGCAGCAACACACTAATATTTACAATATTCAAGTGTATTATATATGCATTATACTCTAGTATAAAATATAATGTTATTCCTTGAAAATAGTCAGGGGATTACGGGACTGAAATAGAAATATAATTAATAAGTTATTTTTCTCCAGAAGATTATTAGATACCAAACGGAACCCAATTTGTCAGCGGTTTTTACTTGTAAATTTACATTACCAAAAAAAATATACTTGATTTAGCAAATATGTTAATAATATTAGACGTGAATGTTATACCCTGCTGGCAAGCGAAACTTTGGGTCGGCGTTTACATGTATAGGAGTGAGCCGCTACGTCAATCTAATAAGTCGGAGAGAGCAAAAATACATAGTATTTATTACATAACCATTTAATCTGACGCTAGATTCCATGCGCTTGGGAAAATACTCGCCTTCTGTCTTTATTCAGTACATCTTATTTTACTAAGCGTGTTGACCGTACTCTTCGTACACACGAAAATCGGCAACCAAGGCCAGAAATGCCGACCCTAGTATGAACTCAGTAACCATCAATTCGAAGTTGGCCACAGAATGCCTAGAGAAGCTGTACAAATTAGGCAAAGAAAATAAAGTCCTTCTACTCTGGGTGCCAGCTCACCAAGGGATAGAAGGCAATGAAAAAGCAAAAATCTAGCTAGAAAAGGAGCGAACACTCCGCTAACTGGACCAGAACCGTTCTGCTTTCCAAGCGGAAACCAACTTAAAGCGGAACTCAAGAACCTGGAACACTCCCTCCGTAACCTGGAATGGGAATCCTCCAACGGTCTAAGACACTCGAAAATATTTCTCAGAACTTACGACCGAGAAAAATCAAAGATTTTCCTTGATTTAAGTAAGAACAATCTTAGAATTGTCACGGGGTTTCTAACAGGACACTGTCTCCTCAACGAACACCTCAGGAGATTGAAGCTGAGAAACAACGGCAAATGCAGATTGTGTGTGGAAAATGGGGAAACATCAGAATACCCTGAGTGCGTCGAGACGACAACCGTTCGTGCCAAAAATCTTGGCACGGCTGATGTCGGAGATGGAGAGCTGGCCTCTGTGGTACCGTCTGAGATACTGTCTAATATGGTATCGTCTGATTTGTCCAAACCCTGAGATTGTATGACGAGTTATAACTCAAGAAAGGGAAACACACAATAGATCTGTAAGGTCGCGGTGGACACATCCCCTCCTAAAGATTCTACATTCTAAGCGAGTTTATATTCTTAGTTTTGTATTTTGTCGATATTTTCATCAATATCATCCTGAAAGAGAGACAAACGAGGCTACATAACGGCCTACAAGAGGTAGAAAGAGACTTACTACTGTTGTGCAAGACCGTCAAATATCCCTAATTGCACGACGCAATGCCCTGCTTTCTAGTACTGCTATTAAAAATGAGTTAGCTCGCCTTGAAAAAATGTTTCAAGAAAGACCATAGCAAGAAGACTCCATGACAGAGGATTACATTTAAGGAGGCCTCTACGAGTTCCGAAGCTTCATTTACAGCACAAAATTACGCGAGAGTGTCATTTTCTATCGTAGCAGAAATATACATGCCATTTAAAAATCAAAAGGTGTACTAATTTCCGGTAAAACACAAAGTGACCAAAAACAATTGAATACGTCAATCAATCCTAATTTATGTCATATACTAACATACCAAATATTACGTTTATACCAAATTTCTTTTTCTATCTAAAAAATAAAAAACTTAGTCTCGAAAGTGACTCACCCCTAGAGTCACTTTCGAGACGTACCCGGTATAGAAAAAAAAACAAAGAACAACAACCGTAGACTAAGATTGAACGAAGAGAAGATTTTTGAAGTATCTTTAAGTGAAACTTTATTGTTAAAGTAGCATAAATATGCTTAGTTGTAGTTAAAGTATAGTATTGAAGGAAAGAGAGAATTATAATAACTACTAGGAGGCGGGGGAGCGCCAGATAGTGTATTCGCCCGGTCTCAATATTTCCCTTCCGCCGCACTAAGGGGTATTTAACCCAAAAAGTTGGCCAATATTCAAAAATCTAAATTCAAGATATCAACCAACCAATACCAGGAATTATTTGTATAAACATGAATGTATTCGAGGATGGGTAGTAGGGGTCAATGTCCCCCCGTGTTACAATCCGCGCCAATCACAAATTCTTCTTCGAATAGACGGGCTGTGTATCGCTGTGCTTTTACAAAATTTACTTAACAATAATTATCTTAGTTTTTCTTACTAATCGCGACCTTTTGTTGATCTTATATTAGTTTGGAGTATAATATGGGGGAGTATTACTCTTTAGTATAACTGTTATTTTGTAGATAGAACAATATTAATCTGCTAGTTCAATAATAGACATATTATTTCATTTATAACAGAATGTTTATATAAACTTTCAGTATGTAATCGAACCTTATTAGAACAACAACCGTAGACTAAGAACGAAAACGATTTCTGGCTGGTTTTGTAGCTTAAGTATTCCTTTAGAAGACCTTGATAAGAAATTTTGCTAATTTTTGCGAGTTTGGCAGTTACAATTTTTTTTAATCGAATATAAATGTAGTGTTTTTCACTTTCAACACCCTGTATCTTAGAAACAATGCATTTCTGGA